AAATGAAGTACTTTTACAGGAGACTAATGAGAAAATATTGTATTGAAATCCTTATCCATTTCAATATTACCATTTGTGGTATAAATGAGTGCTGATATTATTACTACTGTTGTGGCAAATGTTTTCTTTGTTTTCAAGCAAGCTTGACTGTTGACAAATGACAAAGTATCCAGTAGAGGGATATTCCAAGCACCATATTCATGCGTTCTGTGGTGGTTATGGTGCAAGGATTCAGCTGACTATTCTCAGCGAATGAATAATGTTTAAAGTTGGTATGCTAATGTTGAAAATTTTTAACTTTAACATATCATTACTGACCCATAATATCATGGGATCCTGACAAAACCAGGTAAGTGTTAAACTGCTTATAAACCGTTTTCCGGCTTACTGTAGGACATCATCTGTGGACTCATGGTACCATAACCACTCTAGTGAGCTGTAGTGGCTTTGGTGCTTAGGGTATCCCTTAGTTATCAATTGCAACTATTGATTAGTGAACGAAAAGTGATCTCAGTTTATAAATAAATGTTCACATACATTTCTTGTTAAGTTTACATGATTTTTGTTTTAGTTATCTTATTTTATTAGATGTAATGTATTCTGAATTGGGCCACTTTATCCAAGTATTTGTCAGATTTAATATTTGCCATTGTATCAGTGGCACTGGTGGGTCTTGAAGGTTGCTCCGTTTGTCAAAAAATTAACAATACCATTTGAATAATAGTAGCAGGAAAGAATTAAGATACTCTTAATTTCTGATGTTTTATGATACGCAGGTTCTGAGTTTCATAGCAACTCATCTAGACAAACTGCATCAATATGAGTATGGCAGCACTGCACCCTTGTATATCCACAAGTGCTGGATAAATGAGAAACCACAGATTCTCGTTCTTTCCCCACTCGATTTGCCATCACCAGTCTGGTCTGCAATCTGTTTTAGTGTTCCCTCTAAAAGATTCCTGACTTTATAACATGACCTTCAGGTCTGATACTCGTCTTTCCACGGGCGACCTCCACAACCATGGAATTCAGAAATTTCCGTGGCATTCCTTAAATACATACATTCATGTGAAGCCACCACTTTGTTTATTTCGTTAAATTGGATTTTTGAATGCCCCTGGAAACCCTGTATGTTTGTAACAACATAAAAGCCAGGCACTTAGCCTGAATGAAATCAGTCCTGTTGTACCTTTAATCTAGTTTAGGCTGATGTTTGGGTAACTGTCTACTTGCTGTGGAGAAGCTGCTTGGATGCTGTATTTCGTCTGCAACGTTCGAATCAACACCCGAACTGCGAGCTATAATCACTCAGGTTCCAGCAGTTCGGGAGGAAATAGACGAACGGATATCTAGATATCGGTACCAGCGTTCGTAACAATTCATATTTCTGGACAGGAAGGGTATAGCCAGATGTTCACTGTGACCACATCAAATAATACTCCTACAAGGTCCTACAGAACACATAGATATAGTAAATATTTGGTAGAAGTAAGTTGATGGGGTTAAACTAATGTTGTAATGTAGACCCATGATGTTAACACATAACGTTTGCTTCCCAGATATTTTATGCCTATCACAATACTCTTTAAATTTCTCCTTTTAAGGCTTTAAACTACGCTGTTTTTCAAGAGGTCGTAGCGTTCTTTATGTGTTGGGATGGGGAATTGGTCCATTTCGATTATATTTGTTTACAGCATTCAAGATGAATAGTCTGGTAGCTTGCAGACATTGGTGGAAATGTCCGAGACTTTGCCAAGCATTTTAACTGGTTTTGCCAACATTTGTGTGGTTATGCGAATGTAACAGAACATTTGTTTATTGCTACTTATGTAGTTTCCATATATTTTAAGAGACGGTAGACATTTCCGTCTTTACCATGGCAACCCCACAACAACCATTTGATAGTATCTCCAGAGCTTGTCCTTAAAGGTTTATTGTGAAAAAAAATGTTCTTTAATAATAAGAAAAACAAAGACTTTTTAATGTATTTTTGAGTGTCAGATTCTGGTATTTAGATGTTGTTAGATTGCACCACCCATAATTCTTTGCTTGCCACAGGCTGAAATGCTGCCGGTCCAATCCCTGTACACTTACATTAAAGAGGAACTGCCACGTCCTCAATTTTAGCACAGCCTAGTAGCACACAGAAAACTACCTATTGTCTGTGCTAATTTCATCCTTAAATTCTTTGTCATTTCTTTTATTTCAACTTACACTCTTTGCCTGACACAGTCTGTAAATTCGTTATTGCTGCTGTGCCGCACACACAGCACTTACAGAAATGGGTATGGCATATCTCGCTTAGATGCTTATACAGATTCGAGGGATCCTGAGACAGTGGAATCCCTGTAAAACAGAAGCACAAAGGAGGCAAAGTTAATTTTATTTAATTTATTTATTTTAATTCTTTCCTCCACTGCTCTGGTCACCCCAATAATCATAGAAATAACGTTTACTGGGATGATTGAACGAGTAACTTCTCTGGAAGAACATATTGAAATATATATATATATTTTATTATTATTTTCATTATTGTTTTACTTTTTTAATCTGGTAGATGTTTTATCTGTTTGTTTAGTAATGTATTTCTGTGCATGTTTAATATAGGAGCCATCTTACTTTTTTTAAGCAGACATTGAGAGGTTGTTATTTTATATCCTTGATTTAATCTGTGTTTCCTGCAGTTCACTATTTTCAAGGTGCCAAAAAAAGGCAAAATCATGTTTTGTTTAAAGGTTTAGTTCTGTATTATGTCTGCTAAAAAATGAAGTCATTGCCTACATAAAAAAGGTAATGGTTATTCTTGGAGAGAATAGTTTATGTATTATTGTCTTTACATATGTTGCCCGGCTTAACTATGATAAATCTGTCTTCATTACAAATATTGAGTAAAATGTTTTGTTTCTTCAGATAAATGTTGAAGATACAAGGTTTCAAGCGCTGTATACATCCCATTTATACAACGTAGACCCTTCCGATCCTAGCTTTAAGAAAACCAAAGCCATGGAAAGAGTGTTGGAAGAAAAAGCCAAAAGACGGGAACAAAAACAAACAAGGCAAGCAGAGGCAGTAAAAGGACCGGAAACAAAACCAGAGGACTTTCAGAAAAAAGGGACATCTGCTGCGAAAACCACAGACCCGGCTCTGTCAATGCTACTGAAGTCTGTCAAGAACAAAACTCAGCAATTTCAAGCTTCAAAAAGACAGAAAACCAAATAACAGATTTAACTCTTTTTTTAGTAAAGACCCTGTCTGGGCGGTTTGCACCCCTCTTGACACCCCGAGGCTAAAGCCTGACCGTATGTTTGGTGCAGCGACTGCTCATGTTGAAATTAGTGCTGGTAATTGGATCATAGTGAGGATGTTTCAAGTTCAATGAGCGGAACAGACAACTGTGTTGTATGGAGCTACACAAAAATAAAACACTTGGAAGTCTGTATCGGAATTAGGGCTAAACATTCGGAAAAATGTCATCACAATAAACTTCTGTAGCGCATTCTTTCCTGCTAACATTAGAAATGTTGTCAATGTAAATAGCAAAACGTAAATGTAAAAATTGTACTTGCATTTACCAGCTAAAGATATGTGTACTAGAAATCTTTAATACTTTTTTTTTTTTTACGTTCAATTCCTGAAATTACGTCAACTAGTTACAATGGAGGTTATATGAACGCATTTAGCTGGAACCGCTGGTGTAAGGGTTTCCCTGATATGAGTCCATAATCATTTTACTGCCTTAGGACCTACAAGCGCCATGCTCTCCTTTGCCCCAGCTGAATGATGCCAGAACTCACATCAAAAGTCTATTGAAAGAGTTTAGCTCTGATAAAATATGAATCATGTAAGTGTAAATTGATTAACATTAAAAGGCACATTTTAAGAGGTAGTTGTGATGCTTGTGTTAAATTATTAGAATTTAAAAAATATATAAAAACAATGTTGTGGAAACCCCCTCCCTCCCAACAAGATGTTTCTTCTTTGACTTGAAAATACAAGATGCTTTCGGTAGTAAGAGTCATGTTAAGCATGTAATACACTATATTCCATGTTTGGGACTTAAATGACTGGTTATATAAATCTGTTTTGCCGGTTGCTTATCACTTAAAACCTGACAATTATCTGTTATGTGTTAAGCTGATTCAAAACTCCAGCAGATCAATAAAACATTCTAAACCATAAAAAAACGTATTAATGCAAATAGAAATAATAGGTTTTAGCAGCTAAGATGTTATAACTCCGTAACAGAGATCTGTATCTTTGTACTCTCATATTGTCCAGTTTACCTCCCAAGGACATTGTTTATCAGTGATCCTTCCAACATTAGGGATTAATAACAAAATGCATCTTTCTTTACAACAGGTCTTAAACCACATTCCTATAATGAAACTATTAAAAAACAATAATAATATGTATTCATCTTTACGGCGTCATTGAGCCTGCTATGTTACCAAACAACATGTTTGTTGTCTCTAAATATTTTTAAATGAGAATTTTTTTTTAAATAACCAGTCACTCCACATATAACTGCATAGCAAAGTACATTAAAGGACCACTATAGTGCCAGGAAAACATACTCGTTTTCCTGGCACTATAGTGCCCTGAGGGGTCCCCCTCCCGCCCGGCTCGGGAAAGGGGTTAAAACTTACCTTTTTCCAGCGCTGGGCAGAGAGCTCTCCTCCTTCTCTCCTCCTCCGTTTCTCCTCCTGGGCTGAATGCGCACGCGCGGCAAGACCTGCGCGCGCATTCAGCCCGTCGCATAGGAAAGCATTTACAATGCTTTCCTATGGACGCTTGCGTGCTCTCACTGTGAAGCACGCAAGCGCCTCTAGCGGCTGTCAATGAGACAGCCACTAGAGGAAATAGGGGAAGGCTTAACCCATTCATAAACATAGCAGTTTCTCTGAAGCTGCTATGTTTATAAAAAAAAAATGGGTTAACCCTAGAAGGACCTGGCACCCAGACCACTTCATTAAGCTGAAGTGGTCTGGGTGCCTAGAGTGGTCCTTTAAGTACATATTAGAAATCAACGCCTGTTCTAAAAGTTAATTCTTTGTTGAATAGGTGCTAAAGATAAAGACAAACACGCTGGGGCCTCATTGGACATCTGTAGGGAAAATATTTGTTCTGTTTGCTTTAATATGTACGCTTAATCTGTATCTTGTATTTTTAATATCTTATTCCTGGTTTCCTGATGTTCCTTTAAATAGAAAAATGGCAGAAAATAATATTTTTTTTCTACATCAGAATATCAAATTCAGGCTAATAAACATGCTGAATTAAGCCAGGTTTTTATTATTTTGCAGCTGAAAGATGGCACCATCATTTTCTAAACATTCCAAAATAAGATTCATGGAATTATTAGCACCTGTGTTCTGCCGTTCACGTGTAAGCTTGAATTATATACATATTGAAGTGATACAGAGATGAGATCAGACAAACTATTTCTTACATGTGTACACAGCACAGGAAATAACAAAGTATGTGATTCAGAGAGAGAGAGAACAATTGCAAAAGATTAGCATTCCTTCTACACGAGAATCTCATGAATCATCATTTTAGGGCAAATAATATTCATTTGGCTTATAATATGAATATTAATGCAATATACGTTAACCTCTCTGTTTTTGCTATATAACTATTGTAAGAATTTAAATTTGGGGATTGAACAAACCATTGCGTTATCATCCCTGCACAATATGTCAAACGTCTGCAAAGGCTTTATTAGTTCTTCCTAAATGTTTGCAGATGTCAGAATGAAGCCATCTGCTTGAGATACACAGGTTGGACAGTTAATAGAACTTAAAATTCTGAGTCTCGATCTGTTTTTCAGTAGACTAAGGTCCTCTAAGATAGCATAAGATATGGGCAATATTGAATATTCCACATTTAGAGAAACAAGACACATGTCAGCAGCTTTATACCTTAATTGGAATAAAGCGTTTTAAGGATATAACGTTTAACTTTTTTTTTAATAGTGATTGCTTCGGGTTAAGTTTGAATTGGCCATTAGGCTACATTGGATTCTTGATTTTTGGTCGAATGTCTCTGCACAAGAATATTTTATAATATCTTTGACATCTCAATGCTGATTTGGAAGCTCATGATTACATTGATATTCTTATATAATTAGGACAGATGGTATTTGGGGAAACTCAATGTTTCTTGACTTTGGAGAAACTTTCAGGCAACTATGTTACTGTAATACAAAAATAGGGGGTGCAATAACCGCAGCAGCACACCGTGAATGTGACAGGTCATACTTAATGACTTATTAGCAGTAAACCTTCTGAGAAATCATTAAAAATAAAAAAAACACAAAAGGACTTCCATAGCATCATACGGTTAATTAATGAGAAAGACAATGGGTAACTCACAATGTCCAGAGCCAGATATAGTAGGCTCTGGCTATACTGGAATGTAGATAGTATAAATGATTTATTGGTGTCTCCCCCACTCCCAGTCCACTTCTCCACAGTTAGAAATATAAGAGGCACTCAAAATTGGAGATGAGATGAAGCAGATTTAATTATATTGCACAACGCATTTTGAACTATAGGGCCATCTTCCACCTGGAAGAATTCCCTCTGGGTCAAAACGCGTTGTGCAATAGTCTGGTTTGCACATTTTTATTATTGGTATGTGTTTTTATTTTATTTGCTACATTGTTTATACTGATTTGATTGGAATCAAATCTGCTTCATCTCATCTATTTTTGTATTTTGGTATATATTTTATTGTATGGTGTTGGGAGTGCTTTTTAAACAGCAGGGGGGCGGCATTTGCACTTTAACTAGCACCAATCGACCCTTATTCCACTGTTTTTGTGGTTGTTGTGTGAACTGTTTGACTGAACAGAGAGTCATATGGGAAGACAGTATGGTGTTGGCTCTTGATTTTATTTTCCAGTGAGGGCACAATTTGTCAATGCCTACTTTAATTGTTATTTTAGCTCAATGATCCATTCTTCTCATGCAACTTAAATCTATAAATTGTGTTCATTATTGTTTTTACAGGGTTAATGTAGTCCCTCTTGCAAACAGGAAAGCTTGCAAAGACAGTAAAAATTTATACACTAAATTCAAATATAAGGCAGTTTTATTGGACCATCACTTAAACAGCAATGTTTTGACCTTAACAAAGGTCTTTATCAAGCTAACACCACATAGAATATTAAATCTATATATACAGTATCTCACAAAAGTGAGTACACCCCTCACATTTTTGTATATATTTTATATCGTTTCATGTGACAACACTGAAGAAATGACACTCTGCTACAATGTAAAGTAGTAAGTGTACAGCCTGTATAACAGTGTAAATTTGCTGTCCCCTCAAAATAATTCAGCACAAAGCCATTATTGTCTAAACCGTTGGCAACCAAAGTGATACATTTTCCCTCCCCGGTGTCATGTGACTCATTAGGGTTACAAGGTCTCAGGTGTTAAACTTGGTGTTATCGCTCGCACACTCTCTCATACTGGTCACTGGAAGTTCAACATGGCACCTCATGGCAAAGAACTCTGAGGATCTGAAAAAAAGAATTGTTGCTCTACATAAAGATGGCCTAGGCTATAAGAAGATTGCCAACTGAAACTGAGCTCCAGCATGGTGGGCAAGACCATACAGTGGTTTAACAGGACAGGTTCCACTCAGAACAGGCCTCGCCATGGTCGACCAAAGAAGTTGAGTGCACGTGCTCAGTGTCATATCCAGAGGTTGTCTTTGGGAAATAGATGTATGAGTGCTGCCAGCATTGCTGCAGAGGTTGAAGGGGTGGGGGGTCAGCCTGTCAGTGCTCAGACCATACGCCACACACTGCATCAAATTGGCCTGCATGGCTGTCGTCCCAGATGGAAGCCTCTTCTAAAGATGATGCACAAGAAAGCCTGCAAACAGTTTGCTGAAGACAAGCAGACTAAGTACATGGATTACTGGAACTTTGTCCAGTGATCCGATGAGACCAAGAGAAACTTATTTGGTTCAGATGGTGTCAGGTGTGTGGCGGCAACCAGGTGAGGTGTACAAAGAGTGTGTCTTGCTTACAGTCAAGCATTGCGGTGAGTGTCATGGTCTGGGCCTGCATGAGTGCTGCTGGCACTGGGGAGCTACAGTTCATTGAGGGAACCATGAATGCCAACATCTACTGTGACATACTGAAACAGAGCATGATCCCCTCCCTTCAGAGACTGGGCCGCAGGACAGTATTCCATCAAAACGACCCCAAACACCTCCACGATGACCACTGCCTTGCTAAAGAAGCTAAAGGTAAAGGTGATGGACTGGCCAAGCATGTCTCCAAACCTAAACCCTATTGAGCATCTGTGGGGAATCCTCAAAAGAAAGGTGGGGGAACGCAAGGTCTCTAACATCCACCAGCTCTGTGATGTCATCGTGGAGGAGGACTCCAGTGACAACATGTGAAGCTCTGGTGAACTCCATGTCCATGAGGGTTAAGGCAGTGCTGGAAAATAATGGTGGCCACACAAAATATTTACACTTTGGGCCCAATTTGGACATTTCCACTTAGGGGTGTACTCACTTTTGTTGCTAACGGTTTAGACATTTATGACTGTGTTGAGTTATTTTGAGGGGACAGCAAATTCACACTGTTATACAGGCTGTACACTTACTACTTTACATTGTAGCAGAGTGTCATTTCTTCAGTGTTACATGAAAAGATATAATAAAATCTTTACAAAACTGTGAGGGGTGTATTCACATTTGTGAGATACTGTACATTATACAATAAAACAATTGGTATCAATAATGACTTACCCTATCTTTCCCATTGTGGCAGAAAATAGGAGTAGGGCTACTTGCAAGGCCACACTTCAACCCAGAAAGGTCACAAAAGTGCACAAATCTGGTGGATGTGAAATAAATCACTTAAAGAATGACCTAAAAATGAATAGAGTATCCGTAATCATAATTCCTCATCTAATAAAGTGCCACACTTACTATAAAGTGCCTATTGTAATTTAGACATAAGTTTACCTAAGAGAATAATAAAAGGGCATAGAGTGCATAAAAATGCAATTCACATTCTCAGCCATAAAAAAATAAAGTGCGTACATATGTTAACATACTTTATAATTCATGAACTAAGGATCGTAGATTTCATTTTATTTATTGCTACGGTAGTTTTTCCTCTGATTTGAGAAAGAGTGCCTGAAACTCCTAATTAAATGGGGTTTTGGTTGACCCTGGTTCAATTAAGCACCCTGTGGCTCCCTGGATAAATGTGGTCCTTTTCCTTTCTTGTGGAAATAAATACTTTATTGTGGAATTTATGATATGACTTTTTTAACCAATGGGGACTGAATCTTAAATAGCGCACCAATGGTTAAAGAGTCATAATAAGACCACAATCACTACCGCTCATTGTAGTGGCTATAGTGCTATATGTCTTTAGATGTCGTACCCTTTTCCTGAGAAGTTTGACAAAGAAATTTAGACTTCTTAATCAATCCTCTGCTGCTACCCCCGCTCTGTTCCAATAATCCATTATCCTCATCCTCCTTTTCATCTCAATTTTAACCCACCATCTCTTGTTTCTATCAACTTTGTTAATGCCATACAAATTCTGCTTTTACAAGAACCATGTTTAGACTTTGAGCCATAAAAGAATGGATTAAACCAGTAGAACCCGATATCCAAATAATCCTGCAAATCAAAGACTAACCATGGTGGAGGCACATTTGTGGTTCTGACATTAAGACTACAAATGTTCAAAGGTCTGGCAAAACACACTATAACAATCATCATAAAAATTAGCAATAGACAAGCCATACTGGATTTCTTATGATTGTATACTTTAAGGCTGATGAATATATCATGAGTTGCAATGTCTCAGCAGAATCAGATAATCGTTAAGGGACCAAGTGCAACATGAAACGCGTCGACCACATAAACTGGCAGAATCTTAATGCTCTTTAGAAACATGTGTTTCTTCGTCAAAGGTTTTATAATCTCCTCTTTAGTTATTCCAGGAAATATAGTAAAATATGCTGTGGATGAAAACAAAAAAAAAGTGTATTAAGAGTATTTGATGAATCGTCTTTTAAAGATTTTTGGGGCTGTGAAGTGGCATATAACAGTTTTCATCCAGATTTGGCTGTTATTTGTGACACATTATTATGAATGATTACTGAGAGTGGAGTTCAGAGATTTTGGAGATCTTCGATTACAGGTCAAAACCACTAGAGGTTTCTGATTTATTTAACAACTGGAAGAAAAAAAAACAAAGATCAGAAAAACCACAATGAACAACCATGTATGTTTTTTATTATTTCTGCCTTCCGAAATTAAATTTATTGTTTCCAATCAGAAATGACAGTTGGCTTTTGTTTCCCCCATCAAATGTTTGCGTAATCCAAAAATAACATTTTGAAACCATACTGACACATATTTGAAACAACCGGCGGTTGCTATAGTACAAAACAATGAAACAAAATGTTTTAGAACATTGACTATAAACTTCTGGCATTTACTCCAAAGGGTATCGTGAATTGTGTAGTTGACATTTTTTACCATTTGTTCTAAACGAGATATGAAACATGTTAAGCTTAACATGAACAGAAAATTGTAAGAAATGTGTTGTGTTTCAAAAAAAAAAATAGAAAGCCCAATTCTAATTACCTCTTGATGCCAGATCTTTTTATAAGAAATTACATTGATCATATTTTGAATTTGAGATCACATCCTACATCAGGGATAGGCAACGTTTGGCACTCCAGATGTTGTGGACTACATCCCCATAATACTCTTAAACCCATAATGCTGGCAAAGTATCATGGGAGGTGTAGTCCAAAACATCTGCAGTGCCGAAGGTTGCCGATGCCTGTCCTACATTGTTCTCTTGTAGCAAAGATTGTAAACATTTAAAGTAATTACAATTTTTATAATTATATATGTATATGAATACTGTAAAGTTTGCTTTCAAAAAAAGAAGTGTTAATACTCTATTTTTATTCATTAACAAAATGCAAAGTGATTGAACAGAAGATAAATCCAATCAATATTTAGTGTGACCACTTGATGCCTTCAGAATAGGATCAGTTCTTCTAGGTACGCGGTCTTGCACACAGTTTTGTAAGAAACTCTGCAGGTACGTTGGAAGAAATATTTTGGAGTTCTGAGGATTTAGGTAGCTTTAGTTGGTTCTGTCTCTTCATGTAGTCCCAGACAGACTTGATGATGTTGAGATTTCTTTATGCTTAAGATCAGTGGTGTATCCTGGTTTTGTGCTGCCCTAGGCATGAAAAAACTTAGGCGCCCCCCCTTCCCCTCTACCCCGCCTTCTATATACAAACACACATTCACTGACAGACACACATACACTAGCTAACAGACATACACACTCACTAACAGACACATACAGTCACTAGCAGACACACACATTCACTAACAGACACGCATACACTTTCACTAACAGACACACACATAGTAACACACTCCCTAACAGACACACTCCCTGACATACACACACTCACTAACAGACACACACACACACTCACATTAACACACTCACTTTAAAAAAAATGTGAATGAGTCATCTTATGTCCCAAATCCTGTTAACTATCTGCAGTGCCATGGTAAAGTAGAATAAGTTCTTTCTGCCTTCAATTTTTTACTTTTTTCTTTTTTTTTTTGCACATCCTGACATGTTTTGGCTACATTCACATCAGACTTATGAGCAGATTTTTTAGAATTGTTTTCCTACTGTAGGACCCAAAATGTATTGCCAGGATTTAACACCAGGGTCATAAATGTCTTCCTGAACTTGTGGGGTGTAAAGTGTAAGAGAGGTAAAAATTTACAGCATAATAGTTAAAATGAGAGATGCCTTAGATACAGACAATTGCAAGTTAAAGGACCACTATAGTGCCAGGAAAACATATTCGTTTTCCTGGCACTATAGTGCCCTGAGGGTGCCCCCACCCTCAGGGTCCCCCTCCCGCCCGGCTCTGGAAAGGGGAAAGGGTTAAAAACTTACCTTTTTCCAGCACTGGGCGGGGAGCTCTCTGCTTCCTCTCCTCCTCTTCTCCTCCTCCTGGACTGAATGCGCACGCGCGGCAAGAGCTGCGCGCGCATTCAGCCCGTCGCATAGGAAAGCATTTGCAATGCTTTCCTATGGACGCTTGCATGCTCTCACTGTGAAAATCACAGTGAGAAGCACGCAAGCGCCTCTAGTGGCTGTCAATGAGACAGCCACTAGAGGGAATAGGGGGAAGGCTTAACCCATTCATAAACATAGCGGTTTCTCTGAAACTGCTATGTTTATGAAAAAATGGGTTAACCCTAGCTGGACCTGGCACCCAGACCACTTCATTAAGCTGAAGTGGTCTGGGTGCCTAGAGTGGTCCTTTAACACTTAGAAATCACTTGGCTAAAATATAAAAGGCCCTTTTTAAAAAAATTTTTTATATTTGCATATTAATTTTATTTCATGGTGCATAAGACCACCGTGTTCCTCTTCTGAAGACTGATCTATTTAGCTGCCATCTAAATAATTTATCTAACTTAGGCCACAGTGAAATATATAAGTCCACCCAAATAGCTGTGGGCCTTTAACTAGCGCTTCACCTCTATTCCCTTGTCCCCCTCCCACCACAAATCATCGAGGAAGACCTGTCCAGGTATTTGTAGATACAGGATAATATATGTTATTAAATCCACGTCTCAGTATGCAATACATCTATAGGTTAATGCATATATTTATAGCTCTGTATGTCTAGGAGAATATTCACTAAGCATTGCATAGGTAAAACCAACAAGTCATTTAACATCACAAGGGTAACACATGTACAAACAGAACGTTTAGACAAGCTGAAGTCAAGGGTAACACATGTACAACAGGACAAGACAAGCTGGAATGGTGCATGGCATAAATGAATATTATAGCTATTTATATGGCGCCAACAAATTCCGTAGTGCTTTACAATATTATGAGAGGGGGGATTTAACTATAAATAGGACAATAACAAGAAAACGTGTAGAAACGATAGGTTGAAGAGGACCCTGCTCAAACGAGCTTACAGTCTATAGTAGGTGGGGTATAAAACACATTAGGACAGGAAATAGCAATCAAATAAGTTGGGAGTGAAGCAGAGCCAGAGGAGAGTAGAGTGCTGCCCTTTAGGAGAGAGCAAGAGACAGGTATGTGAGGGAAAGGTTACTTTGGAAGGTCATAAGCATTCCTAAAGTGAGTTTTTAAAATTTTTTAAATTGTTTATTTTTGTTAAAGGACCACTATAGTGCCAGAAAAACAAACTTGTTTTCCTGGGACTATAGGGTCTTTAGAAATTGTTTATTTAGTGGTGGCTTCCAAAATGTATTTTATTACACCTTAACATAACTCATGTTATTGTGATTAATAGCTGTTTGGCAGATGCAGCCAGGGTGTGGTGAGAGTTAGAAATGTCACACATGGGATGCCAAACAGCCCTAGCGAGAAGGGCTCCCGTGCGCATGCGCAATGCTCACACCTCACCTTAGGGAAC